TTATATATATAAATATATTTGCATCTGTATACACTTGCCCTCAATACATCAGTATCTTAAGTTCTTAATATAAGTTCATTGGACTTTCTGTGTACATGTCCTAAATTACTCTCGAGGGCCAGATCCAAAGACAGTTTGTTTGATTGGACTAGTTGATCCCTCTCATATCCAACAGGTGAATGTCTATGCTGAAGCTAATTCAGTACCTGATTCGTAGCTTAGCCATATTTGATTATAGAGGTAGTCATCACACGCCTACTTCCAAAAATAAATATAATCTCAGATCTGCGTATATATGTGTATCTGTAAGTGTCCTACACTCACGTAACCAAACGTTAATACATATATCAATTCATATGTCAGTAACAGCGTACTACCTTTTGTTCAATACCGAATACTGCCGACATCGTTTGTCTGTCCGACGAGTAGTGTCTACAGCACACTCTGGTGGTATGGAATGTGTACGTGTATTTTGATAATATAATATATATATATATATATTATTGTATACCTGCCGCGATGGGTGCAAGCTGGTTGTATATACATCGCAGTCCGCACCAACTGCGGAGACAACCTACTATATGCCGTATTCTTAGACCACACCAGGTACTCGCATACATCTATTTACGCACTTCACAGTTCAGATCCTTTTATTCACATCGTATTCCTGCACCTACAGGCAAAGGTCAGGACTCTAACGGAAGAGAATGTCCAATTACGACAACAGGTTGGGACATTAAAAGGAACTCCTGCGAGCTTTACTGGTGTACTAGGCTCTGAGTTCCCATGCTGATGTGCTTATTAGCCTATAATTTTGGAATTGGGACCGAAACTGCCCTATAATTTTAGAATTCGGACCGAAACTGCCCATTTTTGAGATCTGAACGATAACGCTGAAAAAATATGGTGCATACCCGGGTATACTTTTGAGATTTGATCCGAATTATCCCATATTAGTTGGAGGATGTGAACGCCAGTACTGATGCGTGCAGCGGGCTATACCTTGGACTCGTATCTGGCTGACGAAAGACTCGACCGAGAGAGAGATATACATATATATATATATATATATATAATATAAATGATCTGGTCATGGACGTTTCGAGCGAATTGCGGTTCGAACCGGTGTCGAAGTCCAGCCACAATATATGCTATACCAGGGGACTGCACGGACTGACTGACTGACATGCTGTTCTGTGCTCAGCAAGTGTACAGTACACGTGAGGAGTAGGCGTCTCACCGGTCGCAGGAGCCCGAACTACCAGCAAGCACACACTCACTCGCTCACTCACTCACATACATACATACATACACACACACACATAATATATATATATATATATATATATATATGAAACGATCATACCGCTTATTAAAGCACATCGTATTGTAAGACAAAGTGCATACACAACATAACGTACTTTCTAAGTACTTGGACTGGGAGGAACAAGGACGCAAACCTCGCACTCTAGTTACACACACATAACATTATATCGAACTCGACAAATATATATGCCGCCCATTCCGTGCTAAGGTCTAACTTGCGCATATGCGTTAATCCCGTGATCATATTACGCAGTTTGGCGCAATATGACTCCGTACGTTTTGAGGGGCAAACACAAAGACATACACGACTACGATGATACCCCAGACACACTGGAATGGTCGCAAGAGAAGGACGACTCTCGCACTAGGTGTACTTTGAACTGAAATATAAATTGGAACCTGGAGGTTCCTGTTATTGTTGATTAAATGAACCAGACACACGTTTTACACAGTACACTGTAGCCAATTTGGGGCTGTTTTATTTCTGAGATGTGTGATATTTTTGATCGGCACAGTACCACTGTAACCAATTTGGGGCTGTTTTATTTCGGAGATGTGTAATATTTTGGATCGAAGAGACAATATTTAGGGTGGGTTTATAGATAGTATTCACTTTGAATTTCTTCGACAACAGTCGTTTGTTGATCTGACGGTGACCACTGTGAATATCGGTTTAATTCCAAATATACACAAACCGTTAACCGACTACCGCTACGCACAAGTACTTACCCGCTTCAAACGTAAACACAAACCGTTAACAGACTACCGATATTAGACTACACACAAGTACTTACCCGCTTTAAACGTAATCACAAACCGTTAACCGACTACCGATATTCGACTATACACAAGTACTTACCCGCTTTAAACGTTGCTACGAGATCCTCACATGGCCAACACAGTTGGGATCTGCTAACGTTTAAATTCACACTGAACCAGAACACAATTGAGATCTGTTAACGTAGAAATATACCAAACCCCAGGTCAAATATAAACAAAATGGTTCATATTTCTATTTGTATATATATATATTAAAACGTTCGACATCCCAGCCAGCACAAACTGTGTATGGGAGATGAATGAAGCTGTATTGAAGCGCAGGTCAAAGTGTACCCACAATTTTTGTACCTACAGTTAATGTACCTACAGCCATTGTATCTACAGTTAACGTACCTACAGTTATTGCCTACAGTTATTACCTACAGTTATTGTACCTACAGTTAATGTACCTACAGTTAATGTACCTACAATAAGTCAATATACCTACAGATAATGTACCTACAGTTAATAGACCTACAGTTGTTGTACCTACAGTTAATGGACCTACAGTTATTGTACCTACAGTTAATGTACCTACATTTAATGTACCTACAGCTATTGTATCTACAGTTAATGTACCTACAGCCATTGTATCTACAGTTAACGTACCTACAGTTATTACCTACAGTTAATGTACCTACATTTAATGTACCTACAGCTATTGTATCTACAGTTAATGTACCTACAGTTATTGTACCTACAGTTAATGTACCTACAGTTAATGTACTTACAGTTAGTGTACCTACAGCTATTGTATCTACAGTTAATGTACCTATAATAAGTACAGTTATTCAGCCCAAAGGAAAATACAAGACAAATCTTCAGGAGATGATATATAGTATTCCCCTAACAGCCAAAATCTCAAAAATATGAGCAAATTAACGAAAAAGTGAGCCAAAACCCCGGAAATATTGAGGCACACACCCATAAATACGAGTCCAACGCCCAACCCTTTTGCACCCTAGCTTTATACAACAGTCTCGATTCACAAATTCGAAGGCAGCAACTCGACACACTAAAGTATGGTGTCTATTAAATAAGTATCCATCCGGTTCAAATCCTCGTCCATCTCCCGTCCCATCCACCCCGGACCAATCAAAAGCCTTCTATATATAGCCTACCAACCTGCCCCAACCGGTCCTGTCCTGGGCCCCGGGGTTTCGGGTTCAGGGTTCACTAACACACCACACCGCAGCGCCGGCAGAGTCTCTCAGACTTTGTTTCGTTTGCCAAAGATCTTCTGAAACGCAGTTTTCTTCTTCTTCTTATCGTCCTTGGCGTCGTGACCGCTATCGTTCGGCGATCCCATTGGCTGTGCGTGTGCATTTCCTGCATTCGGATTGGCTCCCGCGCCTTCGTGCATACCACCGCCACTGTGTACCTTGTCATGATGAGATTCGGTCTCCTGAGGAGAGGTCTCAGACTGTACATGAGCACCCCGGTCACCGTGTGCGTGTGTGCTATCTCTGGCAGTAGCACTCTGTGCTTGTGGGGGTGCCTGTTCCGGTTCGTTCCGTTGTTCAGGTTGCTTTTGCGTCGATGCGGGGGTAGGCGCAGGGGAGGTATCGGAAGCGGTAGGCGGCGCTGAAGGAGGAAAATGAGGGTATATGAGTATAAAGGAATATAGATATATGTAGATATGTATATATACATATAAATACATACACATACAAATGAATATACATACATATACACACATACATATATATATATATATATGTATGTATGTATTTGAGTGAGTGTGTGTGTGAGTGTGTGTATATGTGTATGTATATGTATATGTGTATGTATATGAACATTTATATGTATATGTATATGTATATGCATCTGCATATGTACATATATGTATATATGTATATGTATAAATATATATATAACAAAAAACAACAAAAAAACAAGCACACGAACACACAAACATATACATATACA